AACGGTACTCGGGCTGAGGCTGATGACGTGTCACGAGTACACGAGCACACGAGAACGCTCAAGAACGCATATATGGACATTCCTTTTTTTTTCTTCTTGAACAGCTCTATGTTGAAGCAGTACTGCCCTCTAAATCAAACTGTTGCAACAGCATCACCTTGTTTAGATAGTTCTCACTTACCGATCACTGGACCAGGCCAGCAGTGCAAAGACATCCTGATTTCATAGCCCCAACAAGTAAAACCACACAGTTACATTTGGTTTAATCACATATACAAATGAGGAAACTCACCACCGATGTGAGCGCCATCTGGAAGCTGTAGATGCGGGCTAACCCAAAGTCTGCCAGTTTGATCTGACCATCGCTGGTCACGAGAATGTTCTGGGGTTTTAGGTCGCGGTGAACGACACGGTGTGAATGCAGGAAGTCTAGCCCCTGAAGCAGCTGGTACATCATATCCTGAAAGGCAACAAAATGGAAGAAGCAAAGAGAAAGGATTGGTATTAATCTTACAAAGAGACCTGGAAAAGGAGATACCTAAATAACAAAAAAAACATTTTACATTTAGTCCTCAAAGAGTGGCACAGCATCAATTTTATTGGATAAATGTGAAAAATAAACTGTGATATAAAGGACAAAACTCAACCTCCAATAAAATTAATTAAACAAGAATATACATTTTTACTTTATCAGAATATCCTCAAAACGAACAGGGGAAAAAAAACTCCCCACAAATCTAACTCAACTGTTTTCAAGTTTTAAAGGTACAGAGGACGATCTTTTATTTTGGCGTGGATCATCTAAATAAGTGGTCCTCCTAATGGTCAATCATTTTGGTGGTAAGTTTACGTAAGGCTGTCCTACGTGCTCGTCCCGTTAGCTATATTTTTCAGTGCATGCGCACTTTCAGCCGTATATATGTGTGGTGAGCTACGGTTTCAGACAGTCATTGAAGCTCACCTTTCTCACTGCGGTTCTTTGAAAATGGTCCAAGGTCGTAAGAGAAAAAGTGTCTACGAAGTGTATGAGAAGAAAAGAAAGGCTTCAGAAGTGGCGGATATATCCAAGAATGCTTTGGGGGGAGAGCTTTCCTCGCAAAGCATTGTGGGATTTGCAATAACAGCGGCCTGCTGTCGCCATTGGCTGTCTACCTGACAGGAGCGACTAATGACAAAGATGGCAAAGGCACCGTGCAGTGGACGAGGTTTTCCCGCAATTGCGGTCATAAAAACAAAACAAGCCGGTAAGGTACCAAACAGGAGACGCATGGTGTAGATCGGATGTAGAATTGACCAATCAGAGACCTGTCTTCGGCACTGTCTGCAGTCACCTACAATTTGGCAGAGGTGCAGCAGAGTGTCTGCGGAGGGTGCGGGGACGTCTCTGCGTTCAACGTGACACCTATGCAGATGGCCTAGTTTCTAAGTATAAATCAGCCTTAAGGCCTCCGATTTAAAGGAACCATGATAGGAAGCAAACAGCTTCTTTTTCCTATCTCCCTCCTTTCTGCCAGCTTTTGAACAGAACTTATGGTCAACTGCTGGAGCACTACCCTTTTGGCGAAAGAGTGCTTAATGGTTTAATGTATTCGACTAAGCCATACTCTGAAATTCTCTCTGTTTAAGATGCATGGCAGCCATATTGGATTTAGAGGTGGGGTAGTGAAAAACCTTAGACTATCCAATTTGGATACTTGCATCTTTCATTTAATCATGAATTACCAAAAGCCGAGATTTTTCTCACATTTTAGATCTGACAATATGATGTTACTATAGAAATCATGTACTGTTCTGGCAATTATAAGATTCATAACCAATATATGAGTTTGTTTCTAAGGTGTACAGCCCCCACTGTTTGTTTTTGAGTTGTACAATATATATATTCTTTATTTCCCCATTTCAGTGATTCACTGTGAGCCGTTCAAATGAATTGCAAGGAACAGGTGTTTACAAAAACCTCTATCTGAAGGAATTTTATTTCTATAGTGTAGCAAACCATTCAACTTAAAAGGCCTAAAAGACAACAAAGTGAAATGTGACCTTCAAAATAAAGGCTAAGGCGTTTTGGTGGTGAGAGAGTTAACATGAAGAAGCCTGTGTCTTTTCTCATCGACTGTGGCAGATGTTTGATAACTGACACACACACACAGACACACACCAGCTTCAGAAAGAGGCCCCTGCTCTGTGCAAGAACAGATCTGTGTTACTTAGCAGCTGTCCTTCTTTAGTTAATTGGTGCTTTCTTTCTTTATATTGCCCAAAAGCTGACCTCAAACGGCTGAAGCATAGGCACCACATCTATGACAAACTTTCAGAGTTAATTGTTGTGAACACGAAAGCACAGGGTCGAAACCAGCTCAGACTTGTCCTTTTCAAACCGGAATACTTTAAAACAGGTCCAACACCTATAAACAAATAAGTTATTGCATGTAGTTTTGACAAAGCAAAGAGGGAAACTGATCTCCTACCCTCTGCATGTATCTATCTACTGCCTTCTAGAGACGCATTTATGCTCCATACGTGCACCCCTACTATCTCAAGGCTCTTCACCAAGACCCCACAAGTGAGGTGGACCTGAGCCCACAGCTCTATTCAGTAGCCCACCAGCTGGTGTACGAGTCAAAGGAAAGGGGTCTGTGCACTCAAGCAGAAATGATCTGCAAATGGTGCTGGGCTGGCTGCTGTTCTGGTCACACCCCATAACTCTGGATGAGATGAGTGATGTGTTGCTATACACAAACAAACAGAATGTCCCCCTTTTTTTTGTTGAAAATATACTATCTGTGTATTGTCTGTGCATGTATGAGAAGGGCACAGGCCTGTGTCCAAGCGTGTGCATGACAGTGCCCCCCTGACCAAGAACAGGATGCAAAAACAGACCTTCCTTTCTGCATCTCCATCCAGCCATGACCCACAGAGAAGGGCAGTAGACAGACAGGGCTGAAGGACAGGCAGGCAGTTGGTCATTTTGAGTGCATGGGTGTTTGTGTATGTGTGTGTCATGGGGGGCTGACACAATAGCATTCCCCCACCCATCAGTTCCTCTCTCCTTTAAATAGTCATTTCACCGTGCTTCCTTTCAACAGCATTTCCTTGTAAACACTAATTATCTCACATCTGTGATTCCTAAATGTTAGCGATCCTTGTCTCCCAAGACTTCTCTATAGAGTCACAATGGCTTGCAAAAGCATTTGTGTCCTCCTTCGTTTCCACATTGCCACATCTCAACCACAAAGTTTTTGCATTTTATTTGGAATATTGATGTGGAAGGCAAAGTTGTAGAGAACTGACCAGAATCAAAACCCATGTCTAAACAGTTTTCTTCCATCATTGCTCTTTATTTAACTCCATTTATCTTCCTGCCAGCTGTCATCAGCTTCCCTTTACCTGCTGAAGAATCCACTCACCATGATGCTGCCACCACTGTGTTTTACAGGGAGAGATCACAATAAGATCTAGAGTTAATTTGCCTTAATTTGCAGAGCAGTTTAAACAGTTATTACTTGTTCAAGAGTGGTCAGAGCCTCATTTTTTTCCACATAATTCCTATGTCCTCTACATAGCCTGTAGCAAACTGCTAATAGGATTTATTTATTACTTTTTTTTTTGTAAATCTTCCTTAAAAAGCTATATCTATGTATGCACACCTAATAAAATGTCAATATGACATACTCCACAACAGGACCTGTGGATTTCTGATGCTATCCCAGAGTAATTTCTTAACATTAAAAGGCACCAAGTTGAATTGAACTGACTAATTAGGTGACATCAGAAAACAGATGGTTGTAAATTAAATTGGGTAAAAATGCCTGTAAGCAATTAAACTAATATATTTTCTCTCACTAGACCATTTTGTCTTAATTGTATTGCTCTGTCAATGTAAAATCTGAACAAAGTACAGCAAAGCCCTGATTTTTTTTTTTACTGTGTTTGTGATGGTACAACTAACAGCATTGTTAAAAAGTACAGAAATATCTGCTCCACCTAAAGTTTAGTTCTGATGAAAAAGAACAAGCAAAAGTTTCATGAAGAGCCTCAAACTTGGTCATTGGGAAACGAAAAAAGGCGACTTCTGACACAAACAACATAAAAAAAAATTAAAAATCCCATAACAGTCAGTCCACAGCCAGCATCAGTCAAAACATGGCTTTCTGAGGTCCACCGCTTTTTTAATGCAAATGTACCAGAGGCAGCCATATTGTTTATTGTAGTTTGACACAATATAGGACATCTGCCGGTTAACGTTAGTGTAATTCCCTGCCCATGCTTCATTAACCTCCCCCTTCACGGGCCCACAGAATGTAGTTGTGGAAGGTTGGACGACAGTGACTGAGGAGGGTGGGCGAGACCCAAGCGCCGGCCCGGCTGAGGAGAGCAGAGGCTGGGGCGACCCGGCTGCTTGATGTCCTTCCAGCTCATTTGATTCCTGGAGGAGGGCCTCTTTCATCAATGACCATGTGGTGGGTCTTGAGTCTGAGTGGGTGGTGGAGGATGGGGGTGCTGAAGTGGACAAACTGGGCTGATGTGGGGGTGTCTCTTGTGGACCATAGATGCTTCTGAGGAAAAGTGTGGCTGTTCTTTTCAGTTTAAGGTCTTTGGCTCAGCAGGTTTGGCTAAGAACATGTTAATATTTTTAGCTCTAAAACATATCAAATGAGCGGCTCAGCAGTTTGCTGTGAGATGGTGTAGCCAAGTGCAACTAACGCTGTTTGGGAGGGGAGTACAGGGTCAATGGGGTCACTTTCAGGTCAGTGTGCAGTGTCCACTCCCCTAGAAATAACAGGACTGTGTCTATGATGTGGCGACACTTCTTGTCCTTTTGTCTTCTTAAAAGCTCAGATAAACGGATGATGCACAAGGAGGAGGGTGCTAATGAGTCTTCATCCTGGAAGACAAGGTTTCTGACTAGTGCTTGGTTCCCATAATACATCTCTTGAACTCCTCAAAGATATCTTAATGCACATGTTATGTTTTTTTAACTTTGCAAAAGTGAAAAAACTAATCAAGGAGCTGGAAAGATGGGAATTAAGAAAATAGGCAGGATTAAAACTTCTTTATTTCCCTTCCTTCTTTGCACTATATATCTTCCTTTCCTTTTTGGTTGTGGTTGGTTGTGTTGTAAAGATCTGATTCTGTTCTTGAGGCATAACAGTGTTAACTCTTATCCAAGTCCTTCTGAGTAGAAGTTTTCACAGTTTGTTTTTACCTTTGACCTGACTGTGACAAAGCAACTATAAGCACGTCAGCCTATAGTTTTGGCTGATGCAAAAACACAGAAATTATTGATCAAACTAACATTGTTTTGGACAAAGGTTTTATGTGACTTTTACATCTAACCATCTACAATGTTAATGAAGATGCTTTAGACTTAAAACGTATTCAATGAACTATATGAGATACAGTTCCTAGAGACCACATCCCAGACAATAAGTCTTCAGTAGAATGTCATTGTTAATCCTATTACTGTCACCAGTGTCTCAAAAAGGTCTATGTCAAAAAAAAAAAAAAAGAGCTTTTGTGATGAAACCATAAGGGTTTATAATGGCTTGCAGAAGACAAGTTCAAAACTGGGAAGGATCTAAAAGACAGACACAGTGTTGTAAACAATTGTTAATCGGAACAATTGTCGTTCTTTATACAGTTTTCAATATTTTTGCAGTAAATAATAAAAGTTTTATATATTTCTGAATTTACCTTCTGAGTGAATACTTAATAGAACCACCATTTACTGTAGCTGCAGCTGTAAAGTGTTTTAGAGTTTGCTTTCATATGGTTTGTTCACTCTTTAAAAATGAAAAAAGAAAAAAAAACAGAACAGCTGAAAACTTCTTTTCTTCTTTACAATGGTGTGCCATTCCATTGGGGGTTTAATCACATACAATCTGAATAAAATGCATACATTTGTGAATGTTACATGGTAAGTGTGCAATGGCAATAAACACTTTGGTGATGCGGTACACAAGTTATTTATTTAAAAATACAACAGCAAAAAGAACTTTGAGACACATTCAAGACAAAAAATCTAAATAAATAAAAAAGGAATTCTCTTACCTTGAGTAAAAGTAGCTAATTTTTCACTGTTTTATAAAGTTCTAAAGCACTTTACTCCTATAGTGGTGTGGGGTTAGTATGATCTGTACCTGTATCAACTTCAGTTTGAGCCTCTCAGGCGTAATCTACCTGAATTATTTACACTTTAACAACATCCTTCAATGGAAGAAAACACTCACATAAACCCAGCCCTCCAGTCAAAATCAGCGCTTGCAATACTGTCACAACGTCTCCAATTTAAATCTGACACTTCACACTTCTTTTTTCAAATAATATTAATTTCAAATATTGTTTGGAAGGCATCTTCAGACCTTGGGGGAGGAAACCCGATAAAGAAGTTTTTTAAAAGGAAAAAGGGGAATTTTGCCCAAGAGGTCCAAATAAAGGAAGCTGGTAATGGAGAAAAAAGATGAAGACTTTCTAACTTCCGACCATTGAACAGAGTGTAAATTGAGACCTCTTGAATATTTCTAAATAAAAAATGAGGATTCACTATTGGACTCAATAAAACAACTGATAGGAAGTCAATTTGCAGCTGACAGCATTTAGTAACCTTGTCTTTCAGCACAGAAGAATCTGTTTTTATGAATACTCTGTGCCTCCATCTGTAAGTAAAGTCAGAGGGTAGGGTTGAAATAGGGACTGAAGGGAGCCTCTAATTTGGAGCCCATCTGCCACATGTGCTTGCCTTCCAAACACACTGGCTCCTCTGATGTTAAAGGAAGTGCTTTGCGTCTGCTCTGACTTTGGTTGAGAAAACTCTTGAGCCCAAAAAATATAGCTGTGTTCAACCAGAGCTGAAGCCACAGGGCATTAGCCCAAAGCTGCTCTTATAGTAACAGTGCAGGAACATTTTTAAATTGGTTATCATCATACATATATCTTTTGTTTGGGTTTTGGCAGGCAAATTCATAAATGTCACAAATTTTAATTTCAGAAAGGGGTGAATAGACTTTCGTGTACCTTAATGGTCTCAGGTGGAACCCCGGGGTCGGGAGCCTTCTCCAGGTATGTGGTCAGATCCTGATCCACATGCTCAAACACCAGGGTTAGCTTGGTTTCCCGATCAGTCCGAGAGACAGTGCAAACGTCAAACAACCTAAATCAAGAAAACAAGATGTGATTTTTAAAAATCTAAAAAGATTTCAAGTATATTTTTCAACTTTTAGAGTTCCTACTGTTTTAAAGTCTACATCTGATACCTTTTCAGATTAAAAGACCAGGGTCCTATGTATAATTGCTCAATACACAACAAAACTGTCAGAAAGTGCATAAAAATAAATCAAAACAATTTTAATAATCCCATCTGACCTGAAATGTGAAAGTGCATTAATCAGACTTTAAAAAAATCCAACCTGAAATTATCCTAGACTGTAAGGTAGCTGAATTGACAGCTAGAAAAACAAAAATATTTGCACAAAGTTAAATAAAACAAGACAAACAAAGAGATCAGTCATCCTGTTGATGAGAAAGTCTGGATCCAACCGATTGGGCAGAACAACTTGATTGATTATTATAATGATTATGATTCGCATTTCTCCCTGGTTTATCAATCTGGTATACAATATCTAGCTCCTTCCCAAGGCTTCCCCATGGACCTTATCACCTGTTGAACAGGAAATGCAGCAAAGTGATTCAGGTGCATTGGAGCTGAGATGCATACATCTGAATGACAACAGCCCTTTAAGACTAGACTCAGACTGGAGTTAAACTCTTTAGGCCGAGCATTAGTGAACTGTTTTATAAGGGAAACTCTAACAAGTATTTAAAGGCATTCAAGCAACCAATATAGCTATAAATGTAAAGCAAGGTAATACTAACATATATTTAGGTTTCCAAGACTTTGCCTGCAGAGTGAGAGACTAATCTGAAAATATCGCAAATCAGGTTGAAGGCTATGAAAAAAAAGACCTAAACCACACTGCCTAAGATAATATCATTCACTGCAACTATGCATCCTTTCAGATATGAAGTGTGGATACACCTGTTTGCTGTTGAGCTGCAAACAGATATTTTTTATATGTCTGAACACTTAACCGTGTTTTTAAGGAGTCTTATGGAGATGGCCTTTACGCAAAACCAACAGATGGGAAGTAGATAAAGACCTATGGCTTAGTTCCCAAAGTCAGGAATGAATTACCTGAAGGTTGCATTCAAAACTAAGAGATTGCTCTACACCTAATGCAACATATCTATCCAACCTTAAAGATCTGTGTAAATAGTTGTGTTTTTTACTACACAACCAGCCTAAGCCAAGAATCCAGATTATGTCGGCAGACCTGCCAAAGCAAGCTTTGACGAAAAGCTGTAAAAAAAAAAAAAAAAAAAAAGCTACCCAGTATGTTGAATTCAAAGAGTTGGGGGACTATAAACAGCATTCCTCACCCAGCACTATGACAACTCTGAGAAGTCCAGTAAATGCTGGCTTGTAATGGCAGCAGAAGTGGAAACTTATTTGAAAACACAGAGTATGTAAAACTAAGTAATGGATTAATTGCCACCTGAGATTTTGTATCTTCCTTTCCTTTGACATAAATATTATCGTCATGTTTCACCTCTGCATGAAGCCAATGAAGGGGATACTACCTTGACCAACCACATGTACTCTTTTTCATCCTCTTGATGAAAGACTGGCTCATTCTTTCACCCTTCATCAGTTCTTGCCTTAAAGAAGACAGCGACACTGCTAGGCCAGTGCCTCCATGTCTTTATAGATGTGCTGTACAGTGTACATTTTAGGACACCCTCATTTCACAGGTAAGCAGTTGTCAGTTCTCTTGAAAATGGTTGTCAGTCTGAAATATACAGATTTTTTAACTACAATATTTGGTGCCGTTGTCCACCATTTCTGTGTGAGCTGACCAATCTGCGTTGACCCGCAATGTCTCATGGTTAATGGAGGATCATGTAGGATACCTTGAGCTGGAGCAAAGGAATCAGGAGGCTGCAGCGTGGGATCGGGAGTATCCTATGTAATCCTCCATTTCCCAGGATTCATTGTGGGTCGATGCAAATTTGGTAAGCACAAACAGATATTGTGGATTACAATGCCAAAACCTAGTTAATAAGTTTTAAAAAGTTTGTTTTATAAGACCCAAAATAAACATTGAAGTTTTTTTGTTAAACTAAAATGTTTTTTTGTTAAACTCGAATATCTGCCCAGTAGGTAACATTGTTTCTGCATTTTAAAAAAGAGCTCCAACATTTTCTGATAGCTAAGAACTGATAACGGTTTGACTAAAGACAGACAACTTTTTTCATGATAACTGAAAACATTGTTCCTAATAGGGATGCACGATATTGGGATTTTGGCCGATATCCAATATGCCGATATTTTAAAACTCATGTAGCCGATAACCGATATCGATACCGATGTTAAAGCTGGACAGAAATAAGTAGTCATTGAAAATAGCAGTTTTGTTATCCATTTCTGACACTTTGAAAAATAATATACTCAAATATATTTTCATATGCTGATATCAAATAGATTTTTAAAAACGCGGTATCGATCTATTTTACTTTCAAAATCTCGTGAAATTTCATCGTTCTGTTACAAACTCTCGTGATATTTTGCAAATTCTTGTGAGATTTTGTTAGTAAAATAGATTGATGCCACGTCAATATATCAACATATAAAAATATGGCAGAATTTCGTGAATTTTCGGGGGATTTCGTAGCATAACGATGACATATAGCAATATTTCATTAGTAAAAGATTGATATGGTGTTTTTAAATGGCAATATATCAGCATATGAAGATATTGTGATATTTTAATGTATCAATATTTTTTCCCTTGTGTTTAGAAGTTTTTAAGTCTGTAAAAAAGAAGTTTTTGAGGAAGAAGAAGAAGTAGTATTTTTTATTTTTTTTTTTTAGACTTTAGGAACTCAGAAGCTGATCAAATATCGGGTTAAATATCAGTGGGGTGGCCGATGTCCGATATTCAGTTTTAAGGCCGATACAGGGCGATACCGATAGGGGGCCGATTATATCGTGCATCCCTATTCCTAATACATGAGAATTCAAAACTTTTTTTCTTAAGGACTGACATAATTTTCCCTGTAGATTGACAGCTATTTTTCCTTAGAACTGACAACATTTCTCCTAATACCTAAGAAGTTAGAATGTTTTCCTAATACCTATACTTACTCAGGATACTCATTTATAGCGCTTCTGTAAACACAAAATGGGGCCTGAAACTTGTGTACACTACAATCAATCCTAATAAGGTGATCTATAAAAATAAATAACTTGACGTAAACAATGTATGATCCCTGACGGCATCTCTAACCAATGCATATATGGTAACCACATTTGGGAGGCAGCTTAAATTAAACACTTGTATGCATCATTACATTCCTCTCGCTGATAACCAATGTGGTGAGTTGTCCCACAGTTCAATATATAAATGTAACAAGGTGTAAGGAATTCACACTGAATGCTATTAACACCTTGCATAATGGTGCGTTATAAATGCTTTAAATATGCTGGACACAAAGCCTGGGAATTAATTAGATTGATTCATGTTTTTAAAGGTCCACGATTTGAAATTTTGCTAAATCGTAAACTTGAGGAAGTCTCTTCTTCTGCATTTTTTACTTGCGCATTTGCTTCTGCCACCTTTTTCTTCCTTCTGCCCAGCAGCATGCTGCACTGTTTACTCATGCCATGGCCGCTAATCAATCTGAAGATTTGGTACAGAGAAAAGGGACTTGTGTTTCGTCGATTATTTAAAAGTGGTTTGGCTTTTACAAGGCTGATTGGTGCAGCCTACAGTCGTGTGCAACTAAGTTGTATCTCCAGCAAAGGCACCCCACAGAATGGGAGCAGTGCTCGCAGCTTCAGGAGTTCAGCGTTAGTGGCACGGGCAAAGATAAACACAATAAGACAAGAAAAGACACCAAACACTGGCTGCCTCATTTTCTAAAGCAGTGCCATAAGACAGGTGTAGTGTGCGGTGGAAGCAGATGACCAACACTGTAGCTGTTCATTTTGGGATGGACATGGTGCCCATTTACATAGTAGAGAAGCCTGGAGTAGCAAATACTTTGTGGGGGTTGTGCTACCAAAACTGTAGATCGAAACACAACAAATGCTCTGCGACAAGTTAGACTCTGCTTTGTAATTTGCAACTACTACAGACCTTTGGTCCAGTCGATCTTTTTAGACATACGAGTTTAACTGTGCGTTGTATCGACATGAATTGGGCTCTTAATGGCTGCTGCTTAAAAACCACCTACTTCCCAGACGAAAAATACAAGTTATTGACTGTTTGTTAAATTGCACATTTCCGCAAGTGAAACTCTTTTTTTCTTGCTCTTGTACTGAATATATAGGTGTAAATTTTTTACTGATAAAAAATCAGTACAATTATTGTTGGGTGAACATTGGTGTTAAGATTTATGTTACAAATATTTAAGTTTACATTTTATTTACAACACGTTTATTGTTAGCTAAATATTTGTTATTATGCACAATATATTTTTGAATAAAATAAACCTATTTTTAAATACATGCATGTAGGTTTTAATACTTCAATTAAAATAGATTAAAATCATAATCGTCCAAGATGACTAAAGAAATTTAGATTTTATTTTTCAGCCATATCGCCCTCCCCTACTGGACACTAAGTGGAAGAAATAGAGGGGAACATGTATTCAGGAATCATCAAGATTACTTTGCCCATTATGATGATGATGGTTTATGAGGGGGTTAAACTCCCTAGAGGACTGCTCTTTGATCTAAAAGCTGGAATATGACCAGTTTTGGAAAGACAGACCCGTCAAACAATTATATTCATCACAGGTTTTCAACCCAAGGAAATCAGTGAGTACATGTAAATATAAGGAAAAAGGGAAGGGTAGATAGGTCTAATGAAACAGAAATAAATATAAATAAATATAGCTTAAATAAAAATGAAGTTCAAATATAACTTAAAATATATAAGAAGATGTTTATTATGGGTGAAAAATGGACATGGCTTCATATCGTGGTCAGTTTATTAAACATTCAAAATAATTCACGAAAGATCAGGAAACGTTGAAATATAATAAGATGATGTAAACCAACATGTTGAGTTTGGCTCATGTTAAATCTTA